TCCTCATTTTTCATTTTATATTGTCAAGCCTTTATCCTCTTCCCTCTCGTGCTCTCTCTCTACCATTCTCTCTCTCTCTCTCAATAAATAAATAAAAATCTTTAAAAAAAAAAAAAAAAAGAGCTGTGGGTCTGAGAGTCAGGATGCTTACGTTTGAATCCCAGCTCCAGCAACAGCCTGGATGTTTGGTGGCCTGCTAGCAAGTGACTCATTCTCTACAGGCCTCAGTTTCCTCTTCTGTAAGTGGGAGAAAGAAACTTTGTTTTAGGCCTTTTGAAGGGATTAAAGGAGTGAATACACGTGACCCCTTTACTGGAAGCACAACTAAATGCTCAGAACAATGCCTAGGAAGTAGAAAGGGCTTAGTTACCTGGTAGCTAGTAATTATGGCACTATTATAACTGCCAGCTTATAACAATAATGTCAAGTATTGTCATTTCTCTGATTCAGCACATCATCATTTCCTTATGCCAGAGGTTCCTGAACTTTCTTGGTTCACACTGAGCACCCCTGACGTCTCAGTAATTTTTTCAGGGTACATGTAGGCTAAAAGAAACCCTGGATAATTCTGTTATGTTGTTACATCCAAACAACTTAGTAAGTGTTTATGTCCTACTAACTTGGTAGCCATTTGAAGATATACCATACACTAGAAAAATACAAACAAAAATGTTTGAATCTTATAAAATAACCATGATCGTTCACCAACGGGATGTGTGCACCAGTTGAACACACACATAGACGGGAGATTCAAAGCCAGTTTTGTGATAAGAATTAACATGCAGATGCAGGGAGGAGGGACACCTGACTCAGATTTGGGACTCAGGGGAGCCATCTTCGAGGAGGTGGTGGTGGAGCTGAGCCTCGCTGGATAAGGAGATGCTACCCAAGTGAATGGGATGGCAGTGGTGATGATGGGGACTAACACTGGTTAAGCACCTGTGCTATACCTGGCCCTTTACTTTGATGACTCAGTTAATTTTTTTTCCACATCTCTGCAGTGAGTATTATTCTTATTCCCATTTTTGTTTTTATTTTATTTTTTTTAAAGATTTTATTTATTTATTTGAGAGAGAGAGAATGAGAGATAGAGAGCACGAGAGGGAAGAGGGTCAGAGGGAGAAGCAGACTCCCTGCTGAGCAGGGAGCCCGACATGGGACTCCATCCCGGGACTCCAGGATCATGACCTGAGCTGAAGGCAGTCGCTTAACCAACTGAGCCACCCAGGCGCCCCTCTTATTCCCATTTTTAGATAGGAAAATTTGAGGACCAGAGAAGTTAAATATTTGCCCCTGGTCACATGGTTCATAAATGGAAGAGCCAACATTCCAAACCCACATGTATGAATTTTGGAGCCTATACTCTTTTTACTCTTACCCACTTACTCCAAGGTGAGGCTCATTTCATAAGGACAGAGGCAAGAATAGAAGGTTAAGTTTATGTTTCCCTTGATTCCCTGCACGTGAAAGGGAAAGCAATACAAACTTAATAAATTGGAGGGAGAGCAGAGTTTATTTTTGCCTTCATCGTGTCCTCCAGCTTACACAGCTGGTGTTGCACACACTGAAATGACTAATTAGCTAGGATGGTGTTCATTAAAATGGGACCTACCAATTAATTAATGAAAGTGCTGTCATACTTGCTAATTTAACAACACTGTGGTGCCCACTTTCCAGTTAAAGAACCGAGTTGGGGAAACATCCCTTCACCCCTCAGACAAGATGATTAAATAGAACTCAAGTCTTGTTCTCGTTTCCAGTTGGTTTCTCATCTGAGAATAGCACAAGGTTTTGATACAGTCACTGGAGTGGATCATCACTCAGTCCAGTTGTCATAGATGTGGTGTACTTGGGTTCCTAATGGGGTCTGTGTGTATGCTGCATTCAGGATTCTTGACTGCCTTCCCATCACCACTCAGCCCCTCCCTGTGCCTTCCCATTGTTGAACAGCACTCGGACTTTGAGTGTCAATTCCTGTGTGCCCACTGTTCAATCACCCATGCTACGCCATAGCATGGACACGGCTTCCTTGCACCGCTTTGCCTCTCTCTTTAATATGTGTGTACCTCTGTGTTTATTCCAGCCGTGACCCAGAAAGGGACAGATCCACATATCATGAAACCTCTCAGTCCGACTTCCCCTGGTGCTAAATGAAGCAAGGATTGATGGCCAACCCAAAGGCAGTGTCTAATTTGATGGCCAGTAATCTATGACTTGTGTGGTCTACTTAAATAATTGAGCCACGTCTATTAGATTTTCCAAAGAATTTGAACTGTGCCAGAACATAATACTTGCTCAGGAACTACTGGGGGCCATGTGCATAATGATGAGTAAGCCCAAAAAGTCAGAGTTTAAAGGTTAGTT